GGCGTAACCAGAATTTTTTTAAATATCATTTTTTAACTCGTGCAAGTTATTACTTTTATTTTTCAAAATGGACCGAAATTTATTTGCTCATTTGTAGTTAGTAATTAGGCCGGTAAATTTGCACAGATTTGAGTAGTTTTCTATTAAGAAAAATTAAAATAAGAAGTAAATTCGATAAAAATTCGTTAAAATAACTGCTGGGCACTATAGTGGTCAGCGGGCCCTCTAAAATACTATAGTTTTTCCAAGGATATAAAATTGAGACAATATGACAATTGTGAGTTAATGCTGTTATATTATTTGTCAACCCCATTAATTAATTTAAAGAATAATTTTTATCGAGAGATAACATATATAAAACTATATATTTAAAACAATTTTTGTTTTGCTTTTTTCATTTTTTTGAAGTATGTGAGTATAAAGTTGATATAGAAATACGCTAGTGGGGTGGTTGGACATCATACACGGAGATAGAAACGTGTTACAGTTATATTGCGTTAGCCTGTCCGTCCAATTATGGGAAATTAATTGGCGATTGGTGACTCGAGGCGATATGCGTTATTCGCACTCAAATCAAAGCAGCTTCCTTTGTGTGTATTTCGATCAGGCATTAACCGCTGGTGTATAATAATTAAAGTAATTAACCGACGAGTCAATAAATTCAGACTACCGTTCCGAGGGATAATTATTACAGTCAATACATATCCAAAGATCATTGTTACTATGTGAAATCGTGCGATCCATTCATTTTAATTGGGTACATGCTTTATATGCGTGTGTGTTATATTCCCAAAAATTGGTTGGCACACCATTGGCTCAGTACTGGGACAGTATTATTAAAAAAAAATTTTTTTTTTTTATTTTCACTCAAACTACGCAGATTTTAAGAAATATTTAAAGGCTTATGTAAAAAATATACTTTTATCCACGAGTATATATATATAAATGTATATAGCATATATATAATATGTATATACCTTGATAGCTTTCAGTATTAGTAGTTACTGGGAATAATAGGAGGGCTTGTATTTGCCTTGGATTTATATACTAGTGGAGAACCATGCATGAAAAGAATCGATGGATCATGCACGTCCCCTAAAGAATATAAACTGGCCAAATTTGCCCCACCCGATAAACTAAACTACACCCAATTCTATGCAGTACAATATCTTCGACAACCTTAATCCTAATCCCAACGTTAATCGCAATGCGGATTCATTCAGTTAAAACTAGACATCGAATTTTATATATATATACACGTATACCGGGTGTTTCTTTACGCCGAAAAAATTTATGTACGTTAATATTTTAAGTACAATATACTTAATCGTCTTCTAAAAGATTTGCTCTAATTTTGAAACAAATTTTCCAATCATTTTATATTTAAGTAATAAACAAGCTTCACAGTGCTCCTAAAAAGTATTTTAGGGCAAATAGGGGACTGAAAATTTAAAAAATAGGGTACACTTTTAGGGGACCATAAAAATTGGTTAAAAAAAGATAAAAATATAATTTATTTATACAGGGTTGCCACAAAAATTTAACTTTATTTTTCCCTGATTTACAAACACAACTTTGACTTTTTTCCTGACCCTAAAAAATATTATGATTCACTCTCTTATTAGATGCTCAAAAAAATGTTCTATTAAATTTATTTACAAATTTCTTCAAAAGTAAAATTATTCCAAAACATTAATAGTTTTATTTAAAATAAATATTTCATCATTTTTTTTTTTCATTGGAATTAAGATGTTCAAAAATTTCAAATTCAAACCTTTTCAAATTGAACAACTCTAAAGAATATTATTATAAAACAAAGAAATGGATCACTCCGAGTCTTCGACTTGGAGTAATCAATTTCTTTATGTTTTATAATAATTAAAGATGACCGACTGACAAAATAATTATTTTTTTATTATAAGAATATTGTTACTGTAATTTCTTCAAAATTATTTCTATCATTTCAATTCAATTAACATTATCTAGAATTTTTAACTAAACTTCTACTTTAAATCAATAACATCAATTATTATTCAATTAAACTTTTTCAAAAAAAATTAATTCTACAGAATTGTCAGTTAAAAGTACGAAAAACAATAATTTAATTCTACGAGAAATCAATTATTTAAATACAAAAATAAATAATATTGAATGTTTCTTAAAATTTAATTTTTACGAAGAATTGTATTAATAACTTTTGAAAATATTTAATTTCTTTTAAGGAATTTAATTAAAATTTTAATAAAATTTAGTATATTGAAGAATTTTATAACAATTTTAGAAAATAATTGAAAACTTTTTGAAGAATTTTATTAAATTTTTCTAAAATAATTGAATTCATGAGAATAATTTTATTAATTATGAAAATAATTGAATTCTGGCAAACTATTTTATTAGAATTTTTTTTAAATAATTGAATTCCTGTGAAAAATTCTAATATTTTTGTAAATAATTGCATTCTTCAAAAGAATTTTAAAAAAACATTTTTTTTAATAATTCATTTTTTTGAGGAATTGAAATTAAATTCTTAAGAATAATTACATGTTTCTCAAGTAATTCCTGTAAAATTTTATTAAAAATAATTGAAATCCTGCGATGAATTTTATTATTTATGAAAATAATTGAATTTTTGCGAAGAATTTTATTAAAATTTTCAAAAATAATTTGAATTCCTGAGAAGAATTTTATTATTTATGAAAATAATTGAATTCTTGTGATGAATATTGTTATTTATGAAAATAATTAAATGTTGCAAAAAAATTTTATTACAATTTTTAAAAATAATTGAATTCCTGAGAATAATTTTATTATTTATGATAATAATTGAATTATTGCGAAAATTTTTATTAAAATGTTCAAAAAGAATTGAATTTCTGTGAAAATTTTTCTTATTTTTAAACATAATTGAATTCTTTATAAGAATTTTATAAACATTGTTTTAAATAATTAATTTTTTCGAAATATATAATAAATATTATGCAAATTTTATTTTAAATAATTAAATTCCTGTGGAAAACTATTTATTTGTGAAAATAATTGAATTTTTTGAATAATTAATTTAAAATAATATTAAAAATAATTGAAATTCTTCGATGAGTTTTATTATTATTTATGAAAATAATTGAATTCTTTTGAACGATTTTATTCGAATTTTGTAAAATAATTGAATTTCCAAGAAGAAATTTATTACTTTTAAAAATAATTGAATTCTTGTGATGAATATACCTGTTATTCATGAAAATAATTGAATTTTACAAAGACTTTTAAAATGCCTCAAAATATAATTTTGTAATTTATCGATAGAAAGAATTTTTCAATTCTTCAACTATATAATTCAATTTCTGAGAAGAATTCTATTATTTATGAAAATAATTGAATTTTAGTGAAGAATATAATTTAATTTTTTTTTAAATGAATGAATTCTCATGAAAAATTGTATATTATTTAGGAAAATAATTGAATAATTGTGAAGAATTAAAGAAAGAATTTATCAATTTCTTAAAAAAATAATTGAATTTTGCAAAGAATTTTATTTAAATGCCTGAAAATAATTGAATTTACGGAAATAATTTTGTTATTTATCGAGATAATTCAATTCCTTCGAAGAATTATTTATGTAAATAATTGAATTCTTAGGAAAAATTTTATTAAAATCTAAAAGAATATATAGTAATTGAATTATTTCAAACAAATTTAATTAAAACTGTATTTAAAATAATTGATTTCTTACGAACAATTATCAAATTCAATTATTGAATTCCTGTGAAAAATTGTAATATTTTAATAAATAATTGAATTCTTCGAAAGAATTTTAAACAAACATTTTTTTAAATAATTGATTTTTTTGAGAAATTGAAATTAAATGTTTAAGAATATAATTACATTTTCAAGCAATTCCTGTAAAATTGTATTAAAAATAATTGAAATTCTACATCGAATTTTATTATTTATGAAAATAATAGAATAATTGCAAAGAATTTTATTAAAATGTTCAAAAGAATTTAATTTGTGTGAAAATTTTGTTATTTTTGAAAATATAATTGCATTTGTTGATTAATTATAATTTAAAATTGCATTAAAAATAATTGAAATCCTGCGATGAGTTTTATTATTTATGAAAATAATTGAATTGTTTTGCTAAATTTTATGAAAATACTAGATATTAAAAATAATTGAATAATTCAAACATCATATTATATCTGTATACTTATACCGATTTTACAATTTGATATCCTTAGAAAATTTGTGTTGTAATTAGCATTAGATAACTTTATCATTAACAGAAATGCTTATCTTTTCGGTATAATGGGACAATATTCACTTTCTCATCATATAATAAAATAAATATTTTAATGTATATTTTTTATAATAAACCATTCATGTATAATTAAAGCTAGATATTAGTTTTCAACCTACATCCAATTCTTGATTTTATTTTTCCATTATACGTAATATTTAAAAATAATTCAACATTTATGCTTTTGAAGATGAATTTAATACCGTGTACAGCTTATTTTTTATTGTTTTGGGATTCATGATAGTGAAAATAATGAAAAACATACGTATAAGGAGAGAGAATATGATAGGAAGTTAGCATTATATGCCTCTCACTATATATATATATATATATATGTATATATTGACGAACGCGGGTGAAGTAAAATCTCTAATATGCACCCGTACCATGTCAGTTATGCGCGTTAAATATGTCTTCCGACCCTCCAACCCAACAAATCCTCCATCCCTCGCAAAATAGCTCATTGTGAGTAGAATGAGATCCGCCTTCTGTATCCCTACAGAGGTATCAACAATATCCCCACTGCTACTTTGGTTTCTGTCACTGCGAAATTGATGTCGATCGCTCTTTTTAGGGGATGACAGGGATGGTCCTGCTCTCTCAGATTCCTATGAGTACGTAGGGGAAAATGGTGCTCTAAATGGAATTGGGTGGAGCATTGTGCATTTAGTCACGCCTCTCAACCAGTAGATCCACCGCGACTCAGGCACCTTTCCACTGTACAGTTCTTCTTGCTCAGAGCAGCTCAATTCTCTCTACATTTTGCCAAGCCAGAATCGCACCCCTCATATAGTCATTCAGTCAAGTATACCGGACTACAATTTTTCATGCTTAAGGAATCCTTTTTTTTTTCTTTAATTTTCTATCAAAATTATAATTATAATCGATCGGCATCATTCAGAAACATTGTGCTCCCAAAGTGCTTCAAAAATGAGGATTTTATTTTTATTTTTCTTAGTAGATAAGTTGATACCTATCTAAAGAATGAATAAGCATTTCCAATTCTATAACTTATTGCTGTCTTCGATGCAATGAATCTGCCCAATCAGAAGCAAACATTCCTTTGAGTGTAAAAACAATCAAGAAATATCTCAGGTGATAATACTGCGTAACATGGTGGAAAGTGCTTATGTGAGTGATTCCCCGAGGTCACGTTCACCAATGACCGAACCCTCAAGTCCCTTAATGCAGGATGCTCCCGGTATTTCTGGCTATAATCATCGTTATTTGTACAACTATTCACCAGAGTCATTTGAGCACAAGCTAAAAATTGCCATGGATTCAAATTCTCATCGTTCGTCTAGAAATCATCATCATGAATTTCAAAATCACGAAAGAAATTTCTCAGGTGGTAGAGAAAGTCCCGAACAGGGGAAATTCATGCCTAGAGAATCATCGAGACCTAGTTCGTCGGCAAATTTAAATACACCTGCATCATTGTTTACTATTGACAGTATTTTAGCGCCGAGACCAATGGTAACGTCCAGTAATCAAGCAAATTTGTCCATTATGCAAAGTACAGACGTTATTGGTTCGACAAATAATAGAACACCGACAATACATCCTCTCCAACAGCAGCTTCATCATTTGGCTTTTATGCCCGCTGATTTTCTCGGTGAGTCATAAATATTTAATGTTTAATCATATTTAATCAGACTATAGCTTTGAGACAAAAAGCGAATCAAAATGTTGCTTCGCAACACTAATCGTCTTTTGTCTCAATTAGATATTAAAAAAACTGTGATACATAATCAGATTGTACGGAGTAACATCTTTGATTTTATAGTAGATAGCAGAACAAATATTTTTGTATAACATCTTTGATGCTACCAGATAGCATAACAATATTTTTGTAACATCTTTATGCTACCAGATAACATCATCTCTTTACCATCTCAAAACGAGTTTCGTTTCTCAAAACTATCGTTTTGAGATGGTACATATAGAGATGATGGTATCTGGTATATCCAATTCTCTTAAATCAGAAAATTTTTTTACTGATCGTAAAGAGGAAGCAAAATGTTCATTAGACGAACATCTGGATTCACAACTTGTTTCCAACTTTTCCGTTCATAACTTAGGGAAAAATTTTGCAGTATCTGTACCTAATGGTGCATCTGTTATTCCTATCTAAATATTATTACTATTCAATTCACTTTACACTTATTATTTCCTATTATTTTTATATCAAGTGAAGTTAAGGGGTCTACCGCGGCGCTAAAAAAGGCTATTTTTGTAAATCTTTTTCAGCTTTAAATTATAAATATATTATGTGAGGTTTTACGCATAAATAAATACACCCTCGAAGTGCACGAAAAAAAACTGTTTTCATTTGTTAAATATTCCTTTTTAATTAAAAATAATTCTTGTAAAATATTCATGAAAAAGTGGGTGTGCGCCGTTGATGAAATTTTTGACATGAATGGTCCGAATCAAAAAATCCAAACAGTATTAGACTCAGTATGTTAATAGCTATGGCGTATACCATACGATTTTCTTTTTTTTGCAAAATTGACAAAATGGTGGGCATTTTTTGAAAAAATTTAAAAACAACCTTGTTTTTTTCATCGTTTTCGGTCACAAAAATATAAACCTAATGTTAATATTTACAATTTAAACCTGAAAAACACTTTAGCGAGTCTAAGGTGCGGGTAGACCTCTTAATTATTGGACAAATTTTTCGAAAGGTACAGCATGTGAAACTTAAATTTCGAAGATGCTACTTGTAGCCATATAAATGCGTTAAATTTCGACGATCGTCCGTACAATCGAGTATTGTAAAAAGTTTCACAGTAGCACATGCGCAAACTATATCTATACTTTTTTCTGCAAATGGCGTCTCTCATCATTTTCACACATTTCAATAACAAAAGTGTCCACAAAACTTAAAAAGTTTTGCTCTTAAAATTTGTGAACACTTTTATTTTAATTTCATAGAATCTGGGATTTTTAATTTCGTCTCGATTTCGTTTCGTAGAAAATAAGATGTGACTAGGACGTCCGTAGGATACAACATCCGCTGCTCTTAGGGAAGTGGATCAAATTGATACCAAAAGTTTATTTCAATTTTTGATTCTATCAGTGATGTAAAAAGTAAATTTTACTTTTAGATCACTTTTGAAAATAGTAATGAAGATTACTTTCAGTCCCCCTTTGACTAATACCGTTTGGAAGAAGAACTGACTTTAGAACCATTTTTGACTGAATATTATACAGACTTTAGAGTATTAATACGCACTTGAAAGAATTCTTTTAAGTCCTAAAGTTATGACTTGACCCAAAGTTCTAAATTTAAAAACAGGGTATACTGTTCAGTCACTTTGGTTTCAAGATACAGATTTCAGAGTTTGTTTATAAGCAGACAAAAATCCAATTTTTTATTCATACTTTTATGTACAAATCATAGAATGAAATGTTTTTATTATTTGAACTTGAATTACCGTCGGCACATACATAGATAAACAGATAGTTTTCTTGAACACAAAAACTGATAATCTAATTTTAAGAAGCGCCTACCTAAATAGGAGCCAAGAATATTCTCTACTTAAATTAAGTGTCCCCACTTATATTAATTGTGAAATATTCTTACAATAAGAATATCAATTTTATTGTAAGAATATTTCCCACTTAATATAAGTTGGGCCACTTAATTTAAATAGTATTCTAGGCTCCTATTTAAGTAGACGCTTCTTAAAATTAGTTTATCGTTTTTTCTATGTGAAAGTATCAAATTGATACTAATAAAAATTGATATCCTTAGAAAAACAGTGTTTGCTAAAAGATTATTTATATAAAATACTTTTTAAATGTCCGACACTTATGTGAGAAGCTTATTATATAGCTTTTTATACCGGATCTATAGGAAGACATAAATTATATGGTCATATAAGAGGCAAAGAGTTTAAAACTAGAAAAGCAAAGGTCACCTATTATGTATAATACTTTTTTCTCGACGAATGCCATCCCTAAAGATATATATACGACTCTCCCTGAACCGAATGCTGTGAGAACAAAATCATATAATCAGTGCCAAATACGCGCAGGGGGACGGCTATAACATATAAGTGATTTTTACCCTTCCCTTAGTAGCTTAAATCTATATATGAGATTAAACTCTCTTAATATAAGAATCGCGCCGGTCATTTTTGCTTTAACCGCCAGGCGATCACTGTCATGAACATTTTTAACCATCAAAATTTTTTATTTTCGAAACGAAATTATGTATAGCATAAGCCATACTTTTAGGCATATAAGTTAAATAGGTGTCTTTTTTTAAAAATAAGACAAGATGCTCCAAAAATGTTAGATATAACTAAAACCGTAAGAAACATAAAGTATTTTTTGTCCTACCTGCACGAAAAGTATGTCATTTCGGGCACTTAAAGTGGGCGCAAAGTAACTGATTCTCGCCCGGGGTTGGGGAAGCGGGCGCAAAAGTACTTTTGCGCCCGCTTCATCCAGCCGGAGCGGGCGCAAAAGTACTTTTACGCCCGCTTGCTGTACTTTTGCGCCCGCTTCGCTCGTGCCCTCAATGCCATACTTTTCATGCAGTTAGGACAAAAAATTATGTCGGTCCCTTCATCTCGCCATCGTCGCAATCACCTATTTTGCGCCCTTGATACGATAATAACTATTAGATGTGTGAACTGTGGTTCACCTCAAAACTATTATTCCAAAACATTTGCTGAAAATTATCTGTAAAGGATTGTTATGAAGATACTTTTAACATCTTAAAGCAAGATATTTTAAATAACTAAAAAGTTACTTAAATTGGGACAAAATACGAATCAAAAGTGTTGCATCGCAACACATGTTGCGATGCAACACTTTTGATTCGTATTTTGTCCCAATTTGTGATAGAAAAACTGCATTAAATTAAAACACTCCTTTTTGCAATGTATCATAAAAGTACATTAATTTTATCCACAACACATAATCTCAATAGTTTAATACATAATCAATAGTTTAACAAAAGTTTGATAAATTAATAATGTCTTTAGCAGAGAAATTTTATTGATTATTACCTATTGTACGGAATAGGAATACATATTATATAGAATATGTATTATATACATATATACAACAGGGAGTCAGAAAAGAGTTTAGATGTTGTATAAGTGATGCAAATCCCTATGGAGGTTTTTATAAAGCCTGCGCCGCCGAATGTTTCTTTATAAATCTCACGAGAGTGTTAAAAGTATCTCCCTTTTTTTTCTTTTGAGTACTTAGTTGCAAATGTTGAGATTCTGGAATCCGTTTCTATCACGGACGAATGATTGCGGGGCAGTTTGAAATTCAGCACAAAAAAAATATACCCATTGCACAGTAGAGGGAGATTGAAGAAAAAACTAATATATACATGTATATATTTAACCATTGAGAGAGAGAGAAAGATCCTATAGCGTAGAATTGCTCGACAAGACATTATATTTAAGCAGCTTTATTCTTCTCAAGACTTGCACTAAAACGTCCCTTGTGCCTAAGGTCCCAGTTCGCACTCTCTTTTTTAAATATACGTGAGCGTATTTTACGAGTCAGGTTTGATGCTAATAATTATTTTTTTTTTATGTAAAAATTATTCACTAAAAATTAGTTTAGTACTAATTTTGGTACAGAATCTGTTAAATAATCCATTTTTTGTAGCCTTATTTCGACAATGATTAATTATATACTTAATCTTTTCTGGTATTTAGAGAATTCGAAAATTTAAGTAAAATCTCATTTTCTCACGGTAAGACTTTCACTATTTTTTTTTATAAATTTAACGGTCAAAACTCAAAAACGATTGAAAAAGTACGAAACATGTGTTAGCATGTGGTAGCCATAGCAGAGTCCACCCTTTTTTTATGACATTGCCTGCGCTCGAGTCTCTAGCAGATTTTGTAGATTTGCGACCGCAACAAGAGTTTTCCTAGAAACATGAAATGAATATTTGGGGAAAAAAATTGCTTTTCTTCTAAAAGTACTTCGAGCAAAGGAAGTAAGGACCCTTTTTCAAAATCGAGTATAGTGTTGGTTCACTTTTCCTAAATAATTGTCAAGACCCCGTGAAATATAAAAAACTATTTTTTATTGTTGGCATTAAAATCACTGGAAATCGAAAGAAACTAGAAATTCTAATTCGTCAAAACTACAATTAATAATTAACAATTAACATTGTAAGAATGTAACTTACAAAATGATATCAATGGAATGTAGACTTAAAGAATAGTCTCGGTAAAATTCTATTCTATGAATAATAAATATTATATGCAGCTTTTCTTATACAATTCTTTTTGCTTAAAGAAAAAGTATATTTATTCATTTTGCAGCTGCAGCATATCCTGGTTTGTATCCAGGAGGATATGTGGCTGCAATGGCAGCTGCGGGAGTTTCTCTCCATGGACAACCAGCTTTCTACCATTCAGGACATCCTTACCAAATTAATTCCAATACACCAGGAGTTGGGCCAATGGCGAAGAGAAAACGACGCCATCGAACAATTTTCACCGAAGAGCAACTTGAACAGCTAGAAGCAACTTTTGACAAAACTCACTATCCCGATGTTCTTCTCAGAGAACAACTTGCTCTACAGGTCGATCTCAAGGAGGAACGAATCGAGGTAATTAAACACTAAAAAAATTAACAAACAGAATGTGCCAAAAGGATCAAAACCAACTTGAAAATTTCTTAAAATATAGATTTTGCAAAATATACCTACAGGATGTTTGAAACAGTTGCTCAAAACTCAACAAAAGGTTTTTGGGGCAACACATAGAAAAAAGGATAATCTAATTTTAGGAAGCGCCTACTTAAATAGGAGCCAAGAATATTCCCTATTTAAATTAATTGCGGCCACTTAATAATCCCTACTTAAATTAAGTGGCCCCACTTAAATTAAATGAGAAATATTCTTACAATAAGAATATCAGGGCTCGAAGCAGTGAAATTATTTAAAAATACGGACTTTACGGACCAAAAATTAAAAATTACGGACCATTTACGGACCAATTGGCAAAAATAGAATCAGGCCGAATCAAATAAGAGAACATTTTACTTAAAACTAGAAATTCAATTTTTCATAATTCTATAAAACATGAAGAAATCGATAACTCCGAGTCTTCGACTCGAAGTCATCGATTTCTTCATGTTTTATAATAATTAATAATAATTATTAATAAAAATTAATAAAAATTAATAAAAATAATTTATAATAATTAAAATCATTATCAATTCAATTATTATTTTTAAGAATTTAAAAATAAAATTCTTCGATTATTTTTTTAAATTTTCGAAAAATTTCTTTGACAATTTTCAAATTGATTTCATTACAATATTCAATTTTACGAAATTTCAATTATTCGTAAAATTCTCTAATTAAATAAATATTAGAAAATAGAAACTAAAAATAATATCAAAAAAACTCAATTAAACTTTTTCAAAAAAATTAATTTCGAAATTCAGTTATTTCTAAAAATTCACGCTCTATTGCTTTTAATATTCTATTATCTAAAAGTTGAACTGAAATTCATTTTTAAATTTTTATGAAATGAAAATCAATTTTTATTAGAAAATTCTACTAGAATTCAATTATTTAAATACAAATTTAAATGTAAAAATGCAAATAAATAATTTATTATATAATTGAACGTTTCTTAGAATTCAATAACCATAAAAAAACGTTATCAACAAAATTTTCAAATAATTGAATTCTATCAACGAATTTTAATAAATTTTTTCAAGAATAATTACATTTTTCGACAAAATTCGATTAAAATTGTATTAAAAATAATTGAAATTCTGCATTGAATTTTATTATTTATGAAAATAATTGAATTTCTTGCGAAGAAATTTATTAAAATTTTCAAAAATAATTAAATTCTTGTAAAAAAAATTAACAGGAATTCAATTATTTTTAAAAATTTTTAATAAAATTCTTTGGCATAAATTAAAAATAACAAAATTCTTAGCAGATCTTCAATTACTTTCAGAAATTTTAATTTTAATAAAATTTTTCGCAAGAATTCAATAATTTTTAAAAATATCAGAATTTTAGCAGAAATTCAAATATTTTAAAAAAGCTTTGATAAAACTTTTTTTTGGTAAAAATTCAATTATTTTTAAGACAATTTTTAAAAAAATGTCGCAATAAAATTCAATTATTTTTAAAATTTTAATGAAATTCTTCGAAAGAATTCAATTATTATAATATCTAAGATTTTAACTGAAATCTATTTTTAAATCAATGTTTATGAGAAAATTCTACCAAAATTATTAATTTTGAAAATAATTCAAATTTTGCAATGAATTTTATTAAAATTTTTGAAAATAATTGAATTTTATTGCTTTAGAAAATAATTGAATTCGTGTGATAAATATTGTTAATTATGAAAATAATTGAAATTTTTGTAATGAATTTTAATAAAATTATTTGAAAATAATTGAATTTTTTCGAAGAATTTTGCTACTTATTTATAAAGATAATTGAAAAGTTGATAATGTTTTTTAGATTTTGTGAAAATAATTGAATTTTGGAGAAGAATTTTAATATTTCTAAAGATAATTGAAATTTTGACGAGAATGTTTGAAAATTTTTGAACATAATTGAATTTTTGTGAAGAATTTTATTACTTTTAAAATAATTGAATTTCTGCAATCATTAATCATTTGTAATTTCTCTAAAATTCTCCAAATTATATCGTACAATTTACAAACTTTTCATCCTTTCTGAATGAAATTACGCGGACTTTACGGACCTTTTTTAAAAAAAAACGGACTTTTACAGGATTTACAGACCTACATTCTTCGAGCCCTGGAATATCAATCTTATTGTAAGAATATTTTCTACTTAATATAAGTGGGGCCACTTAATTTTCTGTGCATTCTTTTGCCACAAGAAATCCCCAAAGAAAGAACTATATCAAATCACTGATTTTTCAGTTTTGAAAACGTTGATTGAATCAGTAACGAAAGTATAGTGAATAAACTGATTCGAATTTAGAAACTATGCACTGAAAAAAATATATTCTTAATTTAAGAAGATAATACTAAAAAAAAAGGTGCCCAGGATATTCCCCACTTAAATTAAGTGGGAAATATTCCTTCTATAAGAATATATTCTCATTGTAAGAATATTTCCACTTAATTTAAGTGCGGGGAATATCCTGGACACCTTTTTTATAGTATATATATTCTTAAATTAAGAATATTTTTTTTCAGTGTGTTAGAAAACATCTTTTTGGATTTGAATAAAATTATTGAGCAATTTGTCAATTTGAGTAGAAAGCTGATACTTTTGGAGAGAATACAAACATAAAATTTGTGACCTAGAAGCGGAAGTAGAGTTTGACAAATTGGTAAATTGGTTTTAAGTTTAGGCTGTTAATGTATTAAGTTTCAGGTTGACAAACACATATTTGTATTTGAAAGCAAATTAGGGACGATTAATAAATGGCATAATGTAAGCCCATGATATGTATATGTATATAAGTAATATATATGGAGAGGTAAAGTTTGTTCGGCTGACGCGCACGGTGCGGCCCGGTGGCTGTTTACCGCTCTAATGCACAAATGTATAGATGTGTATTAGTGCATATGTACCTATCACAATAAGAGCTAATTGCAAACTAGATTAAAGGCTTTAGTCATAATGGTCTTACCTATACACTGTCATATGCTCTTAGTAATTAGAATATTTAATAAAATTTCCTAATAATTATTATTTTTTGACACTTTTGAATATCAAATCATGCTACATGAACATAACAGACCTCAGGGATGGTAGTTTTTACCTTTTTTAACCTTTCACCCTTTTTTACCTATAATCGCCTGTTTTGGCTCCTTAAATTAATAAAATTCCCTAAAATACAACTTAGCGTTGTAATACAAATTTTGATTAAAAATTAAAAAAAAAAGTTACAGACTAAGCTACCAGGGTTGCCACGCTTTTACTCATTTCAAATTCCCTCACTTTTCCAGGTTCAAAAACGGAGTTTTTCCAGTTTTTTAAAACTAGATTTATATTTTATAAAATTTTTTAATTCAAACCTTTTTTGAAATTAAACATGTTATAAAACATGAAAATATCGATCACTCCGAGTCTTCGACTCGGAGCAATCGATATCTTCATGTTTTATAAGAATTAAAAATGTTGGACTGATAAAATCATCATTTTATACCTATTATAAGAATATTGTTACTGTAACTTATTCAAAATTACTTTCATTATTTTAATTCAATTGTTGTTTTCCACAATTTTTAACTAAAATTCTTCTTTATAAAGTGTAAATTAATTATTATTAATAATTTCTAATTTCTTTCAACATTTTCAAATCCTTTTGTTTACAATTCAATTTTACGAAATTTCATCGATTATTCAGGTATTCGGAAATTCTCCAATCAAATATATATTAGAAAATAAAAACTTTAAATAACTTCAAAAAAAATTCAATTCAACTTTTACAAAAAAATTAAATCTACACAATTTTAAGTTAAAAGTATGAAAAATTCAAACATTCAAAGATTCTAATTTGAGACCTGCTTTTCAAAACTCAATTATTATCTAAAGTTTTAACTGAAATTCATATTTGAATCAATTATTATTAAAAAATTCTACGACAATTCAATTCTTTAAATACAAAAAAAATAATTTATTAAAGAATTGAATGTTTTTTTAAAATTCAACTCTCATTTAAAGAATTTTATCAACAAATTTTTAAATAGGTAATTAAAATTCTTTTGACGAATTTCAATAAAATTTTTAAGAATAGTTTCATTTTTCGAGAAATTAGATTAAAAATGTATTAAAAATAATTGAATCTCTGTAAAAAAAAATTCATTGAATTGAGAAAAGTTTTTGAAAATAATTGAAATTTTGTCAAGAGTTTTATTAAATTTTTTTTAAATAATTGAAATATTGCCAAGAATTTTATTAAAATTTTTGAAAATAATTGAATTTTAGAGAAAAATTTTAATTTTTATAAAAATAATTGAAATTTTGACTATAAATTTTATTAAACTTTTGACCATATAATTGAATTTCTGCTAAGAATTTTATTACTTTTGAAAATAATTGAAAATAATTGAATTCTTTATTAGACGAATTTTTTAATAATATTTCTTTTTAAATACCTAATTATTTTTAATACAAAAATAAATAATTTATTGAATAATTGAATGTTTCTCAAAATTGAATTCTCATAAAGAATTTTATAAACAAATTTTTAAATAATTGAATTCTTTTGACGAATTTTAATAAAATTTTAAGAATAATTATACATTTTTCGAGGAATTCGATTAAAATTGTATAAAAAATAATTGAAATTCTGCTATGAGTTTTATTATCTATGAAAATAATAATTGAATCTCTGTAAAAAATTGTATTACATATTTATAAAAATAATTGAATCTCTGTAAACATAAATTGAATATTTTTGAAAATAATAGAATTATTGCGAAGAAATTTATAAAAAAATTTTAAAATAATTCATTTCTTTTGGAAAATTTTATTAAAATAGTAGATATTAAAAATCATTGATTGGGGGAGAATTTTTGAAAAAAAATTGAATTTGTTAAAAAGAATTTCATTAAAATTTTTGAAAATAATTGAATTTTGGAGAAAAATTTTAATATATTTATAAAGATAATTAAAATTTTGACGATGAATTTTTTAAACTTTTGACAATAATTGAATTTCTGCGAAGAATTTTATTACTTTTGAAAATAATTGAATTTCTTTGATGAATTTGAATAAAATTTTTAAGAATAATTATACATTTTTCGAGAAATTCCATTAAAATTGTATGAAAAATAATTGAAATTTTGCGATGAGTTTTATTATTTATATGAAAATAATTGTAAATCTATAAATTTTTTGATTATTTATGAAAATAATTGAATTATTGCGAGGAAAAATTGTAAAGGCAACTCTTTTAAAATTGAATTAATAAAATTGAATTAAAGAAAAATTAAATTTCAAGAATAAGCACAATAACTTTAGAAAATAATAATTTTCCAGGATTCCAATCAAAATTCCCTGACTTTTCCTGGTTTTTTCAAGGTTTATAAAAATTCCCTGACATTTCCAGGTTTTCCAGGTTTCCAGGTTGCGTGGCAACCCTGGCTGCGGAAAAAGATTCGAAAAATATCATTAACAGAAAAATAATTTAATTTAGATAAGCTCTAGTTAAGAGAAAAAGTAAAAAAATCTTTAAAATAAATTTTATTGCGCTAGAATTAATTTTGAAATAAAACGTCTTTCTGCGTGTTTATAAGCGAGATATATACAGAATAGACCACCCGCACACACCTATCCGGCGGTGTATGCTAAAGAAGAATCGTCCTTTTTTTCTTAAAACCTTTAGGTCTTTTAAGAAAACATATACCTGCTATTCAGTATTCACCTGCAGTCAAATAAATATATATGAGAATTTGTTTTATATTTGTTTAAAATTAGTAATACAGGACTTTTCAGTGAAAAAGATGATTGGATAAGGATCTTAGAAAAAACCTAAACCATCTAATGCGGATGAAAGAAAACTTTTGTTTACTTAAAAAGTAGATAATATGGAGAATATTAAATTGAGATGAATTTTGTACACATATATAGTAAACATAGTACACATAGTAAAAAGAAAATCCTAATTCATTTTTAAATATAGCGCTATCGCTATAGCTTTATTTGCATGTAAAATCTTTCAAAATAAGAGGACATTCTGTATTGGCTATATCTTAACAAAAAACTGTAGTAAAAATTTTATTATTCATGAAAGAATTTAAATATTTATAAAAATAATTAAATTCTTGGTAAGAATTTTATAAAAACTTTTAAATAATTCATTTCTTTTCACTAATTTTATGGAAATTCTAAATTCAATAATTTAATTCCTGAGAAATATTTATTAATCATAAAAAAAAATTGAATTCTTACGAAGATTTTTACCAAAATTTTTTTAAATAATTGAATTCTGTTTGGAAATTTTATGAAAATAGTAGATATTGAAAATCATTGAAATGCAAAAAGTTTTTAAAGATAATTAAATTTTACAAAGTATTCTATTAAAATTTTTGATAATAATTGAATGTCTGTGTGGCATTTTATTAAACTTTTTTTTTAGAAATAATTGAATTCCTAAAAAACATTCTATTATTCATAAAATTGAATTATTGCGAACAATTTGATTAGCATTTTTTAAAATAATTCAATTTCCAAGATGAAATTTATTACTTTTGAAAATAATTGAATTCTTGTGATGAATATTGTTATTTATTAAAATAATTTAATTTTGCAAAGAATTTTATTTAAATACCTGAAAATAATTGAATTTTCGGGAATATTTTTTTTATTTATCTTTACTAATTGAATTCTTTCGAAGAATTATTTATGTAAATAATTGAATTTTTGGGAAAAATTTTATTAAAATCTAAAAGAATAATTGAATTATTTTAAAAAAAATGTAATTAAAACTTTATTTAAAACAATTGATTTCTTTCGAACAATTTTATTAAAATATTTAAAAATAATAGAATTCCTGTATAAAATTGTAATATTTTTGTAAATAATTCAATTCTTTCAAAGAATTGAAAAAAACATATTTTTTAAAATAATAGATTTTTTTGAGTAATTGAAATTAAATTTTTAAGAACAATTTAGGTTCTCAAGCAATTTCTGTAAAATTGTATTTGAAAATAATTGAAATCCTGAGAAGAATTTTATTATTTATAAAAATAATTGAATTTTTGCAGACGATTACTTTTAAAAATAATTGAATTCTTCTAGTAAATATTGTTATTTATGAAAATAATTGAATTTTGCAAAGAATTTTATTAAAATGACTCAAAATAATTGAATTATTGGAAATAATTTTGTAATTTATCGAAATAATTGAATTCTTTCGAAGAATTATTTATGTAAATAATTGAATTCTTAGCAAAAATTTTTTTAAAGTCTAAGAGAATATAGAATAATTGAATTATTTTAAACAAATTTAATTAAAATTATATTTTAAATAATTGATTACTTTCGAACAATTATCGAATTCAATTATTGAATTCCCGTTAAAAATTTTAACATTTTAATAAATAATTGAATTCTTCCAAAGAATTTTAAACAAACATTTTTTTAAATAATTGATTTTTTCGAGAAATTGAAATTAAATTTTTAAGAATAATTACATTTTTAAGCAATTCCTGTAAAATTTTACAAAAAAATAATTGAAATCCTGCGATGAATTTTATTATTTATAAAAATAATTGAATATTTTCAAAAACTTTTATTAAAATTTTCCAAATTAATTCAATTCCTCAGAAGAATTTTATTATTTATGAAAATAATAATTGAATTATTGCGAAAATTTTCATTAAAATGTTTAAAAAGAATTGAATTTTAGTGGAAAATTTTGTTATTTTTGAAAATAATTGAATTCTTCATAAGAATTTTATAAACATTGTTTTAAATAATTAATTTTTTCGAATTATAATAAATATTATGGAAATCTTATTTTAACTAATTGAATTCTTGTGAAAAACTTTATTTTTGAAAATAATTGAATTTTTCGATTAATTAATTTAAAATAGTATTAAAAATACTTGAAATTCTTCGATGAGTTTTATTATTTATGAAAATAATTGAATTCTTGCTTAGAATTTTATCAAAAATTTTTTTTAAAAATTGAATTTCCATGAAAAATGTTATTATTAGTGGAAATAATTGAATTATTGTGAAGAATAATTGTATAAAAATTTTGTTAAATAATTGATTAATTTCATTTTTTCGAATTTTTTTTTTAAATTCTATTGTAAATTATAATTGAATTCCGGTGGAAATTTTATTGTTTTTGAAAATAATTGAATTTTGGATGAATTTTATCAATTTTTTTTTTTTTTGAAATAATTGAATTGCTTTGCGAAATTTCATGAAAATACTAGATATTGAAAATAATTGAATTTCGAATATTTTTTGAAAATAATTGAATAGTGTTAAAGAATTTGATTATAATTTTTGAGAATAGTTTTTTGATTTCTAGTATTAGCGAATTTAAAATTTAAATCAACTATTTACTACTTTTTTTTACGATTTGCTATAAAGTATAGTATTTTGTTGACCTAAATTTAAGTCCTTATGGGGAACGTCACGTAACCTATCATCCCTTATATAGGGGAGGGGGACGAAATCTTTCTATAATGTAGAAAATGAAAACAAATTTAATTCCTTTCACTATACTTTTCCACTCGATTTCGAAAAATAGCTATCAATAAGAAATAATAAAATTTTTGTTTCAGGTATGGTTTAAAAATCGACGAGCAAAGTGGCGGAAGCAAAAACGAGAAGAACAAGAAAGACTAAGGAAATTACAGCTCGATCAGAGGCCATCAGAAAGTATTACAAACCCCAATTTAAATAGAACACACGATCACGATACCGACAGTTCAGATTTAGAAGTCGCGTAGTTTTTTTTTATTTAAATTTCAAGTATAAATAAAAAAAAATACTAATTTCATTGAAAAATATATGTCGCTATTATAGAAATCGTTCTCTGAAAGTTTTTTGTGAATTTTTTCGAATACTTCTAACTTCTCGTGTAGAATGTTATATATATAATAAACCATATCGCGATGACTAAGTTTTAGGGCTTTGTAGTATATATACACACAATATATCGAGATAAAAAACAAAAATTTGTTAATATTTCTACATAATGAAATTATTGTAAATAAATGACACATATAATGTTAGAGACATGTTTCCAAAATGACTGCAATTCTCATATAGTAATCAATAATTATTTTATGGGATAAATGCTAAAGGTGACGCATTCCTTGTATTCATTTTTTTTTTTTTTTTTTTTTTTTTTTTTTTGAGTTTATGCTTTCATTTTAAGTCAAAACGAAATAGTTAAACTTGAAAATTTCTGCTTTAGGCCTCTTAAGGACTCTTAAGGTTGTTATCTTTTAAAAAAATCGATTTTCGTTAAATTTTCTTCAAATTTTTGAGGAAATGTTTCCTTAAAGAAACATTTCCTCAAAAATTTGAAGAAAATTTAACGAAAGTCGATTTTAAGAGTAGCCGGAGAACCTCTTTAAAAATTGTAAAATAAAAGCGCCAAAATGGTGACAATGAAAGTTCCGCAATATTAAATAAACAGAGGCTTGATGAAACACTACCAGATTCGACTAATTGTAAGTATTAAACGAAATTTTTCTATAAAGCCGAAAATTCAGTGTAATTCAATTGAAATTACTGTATAAATAAAATACTCTTTCTAAAGTATGAATATAATTCTACAATATCGTCTAAAAGTATGCGAAAACGAGTATAAAATGAAAATGAAAAAAAAGTCATGGATCAAATGTGTATGTATAGCACACTCATCCTATTAAAATCCGCGTACATCAACAAAGGTAAATTTTAGGATAGATGCCTCCCCCTTTTTCATCCGAATAATACCTATTATTTATTTTACTCTTAAATTATTATTTTTAATTAATAATTCACAAATTTTAGAAAAGGTAAAGAAAAAAACATTCACTGTTAACTTAAAAGTATCAAATAACAAAATTTAAAAACGAATATTGATTCCAAAAGTGTGGATCAAATCAAAAGTTGATCCAAATTTTTGGCATCAATTTTGATCCACATTAGTATTAACTAGCAACTATAGCATCAAATTACAAAATTTTTTATTTTCAAATATAAATTTTTTAAATAATTTCATAATCAAAATTTAAAAAATCCACTTCTTAAGTGTAAAATTCAATTATTTTCGAAAATTTTAATAAATCCTTCTAAACAATTCAATTATTTTTTAAAATACTCAAATTCTTCGCGCAAGAATTCAATTATTTCCAAGACAATTTTAATTGAATTCCTCGAAAGAATTCAATTTTTCAAAAAAAAATTTTAACACATTTCGAAAAATCCAATTATTTTCTAAAATCTTAATGAATTCTTCGAAACAATTCATTTTTTTTAAAAAATAATAAAATTCATCGCGCAAAAATTCAATTATTTTTATACAAATATTCAAATTCTATGCAGGAATTCAATTATTTTCAAAATTATTTTAATTGAATTTCTCGGCAGAATTCAAATATTTTTAAACATTTCCATAAAATTCAAATTATTTGCTAAAATTGTAAATAAATTCTTTAAAACAATTCAATTATTTTTATAAATATACTAAAATTCTTTAAAGAAATTCAATTATTTTCGAAAAAACTGTAATTGAATTTTTCGAAAGAATTTATATATTTTCAAATATTTCTATAAAATTCAATTAATTCCTAAAATTTTAATAAAAATCTTGACAAAAATTCAATTATTTTCAAAACAATTTTAATTAAATTCCTCGAAAAAATTCAATTATTATTTAAAAAAAATTTTAACACATTTCGAAAAAATTCAATTATTTTTATAAATACTAAAATTCTTTGCAGGAATTTAAATTATTTTTAATCCAATTTAAATAAAATTACACGAAAGAATTTAATTATTTTCAAAAATTCCTATAAAATTCAATTTCAACAAGAATTTAAAATTCTCTAAAAATAATTCAATTATTCTCAAAATATTAAAAAAAAAATCTATATAAAAATTAAATTAATTTCAATGCAATTTTTAAATATCAAAAAAATTGAAAGAATTCAATTATTTTCAAAAAATAATAAAATTCTAGTGATGAATTCAATTATTTTGATTATAAACTTAATTTTAGTAAAATTCTTTACAAAAATTCAATTATTTTCAAGACAATTTTAATTGAATTCCTCGAAAGAATTCAATTTTTAAAAAAAATTTTAACACATTTCGAAAAAATTCAATTGTTTTCTAAAATTTTAATAAATCCTTCGAAAAAATTCAATTATTTTTATAAATACTAAAATTCTTTGCAGGAATTAAATTATTTTTAATCCAATTTAAATAAAATTACACGAAAGAATTTAATTACTTTCAAAAATTTCCATAAAATTCAATTTCAACAAGAATTTTAAATTCTCTAAAAATAATTCAATTATTCTGAAAATATTTTTAAAAAATTCTATATAAAAATTAAATTACTGTCATTGGAATTTTTAAAAATTATATTCGATAAAAAAATTGAAAGAATTCAATTATTTTCAAAAAATAATAAAATTCTTGGGAAGAATTCAATTATTTTGAATATACTTAATTTTAATAAAATTCTTTACCGAAATTCAATTATTATTTTCGAAACAACTGTAATTGATTTTTTCGAAAGAATTTAATTATTTTCAAATATTTCTATAAAATTCTTCATAACAATTTAATTATTTCTTAAAATTTTAATAAATTCTTCGAAACATTTCAATTATTTTTATAAATAGTAAAATTCTTCGCAATAATTCAATTATTCTTATAAATAGTAAAATTCTTTGCAGAAATTCAATTATTTTCAAAAGAATTTTAATAGAATTCTTCGAAATAATTTAAATTTTCAAATATATTAACATAGAATTCATTTATTTTCTAAAAATTTTAATAAATTCTTCGGAACAATTCAATTATTTTTATAAATTGTAAAATTCTTCTCGGGAATTCAATTATTTTCTATACAATTTTAATAAATTTCTTCTTCATAAAATTTAATTGCTTTCAAAATTTTCAATTAAAATTATTAAAAAAAATTCCGTTAGTTTAAAAAAAAAAAATTCAAGGAAATTCTTCAAAAGAATTTAAATTAGGATTTTTAAAAATTTTTAATTCTTCGCGAGAATTCAGTTATTTTTCTAAATAATAAATTTCTTTGAAGGAATTCTATTATTATGAAAATTTTCGATAAAATTCTTTACAACCATTCGATAATTTTCAATACATTAATTTTAATAATTGAAAATATTTGAAAATAAAAATGATAAAAAAGTTAAGAAACAAAAAAGCAAACAACAACTAACTTCAAACTGCGAACAGATTACCGGAATATGTACTTTATTATTATTTAATTAACAATAATTTGATACTTTCAAGAAAACTCTCTTTGTAATCATCTTAGGAAGATAAAATTCAATATTTTTTTTAAATACACATTATTACACACCAGTATTAATATCTATAAAAATACTAGTTCTTATTCAGTAAAGTAATAAATTCGCATTTATATTCGACCCTGATTGGATACCTGCTCAAATTTACCTAAAGCACTACTTATAATTACTGAAGATGACACTAGATCCTTAATAGTTATAGTATAAAATTTTAGGCTATTATTAAAATACGGTATATAAAATAAAGAAAGCTTCACATCATATCAAGATTTTGTAATACATTAGTTTAATTAATTTAATTCATTTAATTAATTTAATTAATTTAATTCATTTAATTAATTCAATTATTAACAATTAATTTGTAAAAAAAATCTCTTTTGACAATATATTTAGTGTTAAGATTTAGTGAAAAAAAATAGATATTACTTTTATTTTCCGAATCTAACGAAATCAAACTGTGAAATATATTGTCAGATTTGTATATAATATTCTTTCGAAGAAAGCATGGGGCGTCTATTCTTATATTAGCCAAAATCGATAAAATATATGACACTATTTTTCAGGAAGGCTGCAAATCAGTTTTGTGATTACTCCTATACAGCTTATTTATAATGTAATACAGTAAAACCTGTCGGAATGCAACTCGATTTTTTGGATTTTATTACCGGAAATAAAAATTGTTTTTTAATTAAATTTTTGTAATATTTTTGAAATATTATTATTACAATATTTTACAATCTGGTAGTAAGTGAAAATAATTTGTACATTTTTGAATATAGAAAAATTTTTGTTGCATTCCGACAGGTTCGATTGTAATTTATACTGAAAATTAAGGATTCATTCACCGAACTAAATTAAGAGCTTTAATTCTGTTATATAGAAGTGAATTTCTCTTTAAACAAAACATACCATCAGACTTAACACTCTATTATAGTGGAATTTTTGTATTAATATTTGAAAATTCTCCACGAGACTGTAAATAAAATGATAATTAGTATATGTAAATATACATGTAAATATAATTTAGAATCTATGTGAATAAAGCATTAAATTATTGTGAAAAAAAATATAAAGTTGAACGTTTATAAATGTTTTTATTATAATGATGATGTATATGTAAAATTTCTTTTCTTAATTCAAAATATATAGATATACAAAACAGTATTTTAATCTTTGGTAATTGTTTAAATTTGAATTGTTTAATATTTGAAATTAAAGTGAATATTATTTATTTTTATTTATATTTATAATTTTTAAATATATATACATTTAATTTCCTAAACTGCATAATTTGATAATTTGATAATTATGTGCAAGTAGATGCATATATATATTATGAAAAGCCTGTGGGTGCCAATTATGTGGACATCGTGAAACTTGTAACTTTCCAGAATCAAGTCATGGAAACTTTAGTGGACTGAGTACATAAAGGGGCAGCTAAACCGAAACTAATAAGATCCTTAATGTACCGCAGGGACTTTGGGATTTTGGACTCAGAGACGATCTATTTAAGTGCTTTTTACAATGCGGTAATCATAACAAAACAATCGGCTTCTTGAAAAAATAGAGAAAAATTAAATAATTTAGTAACTTTATTGGAACTTCAAAATGTCATGATTTCATAATTTATATGAAAAAGATAAAATAATAAATTTTTAATTCTCCTCTTTTTTAAACTGAATAAACTCCTTTTTAAACTCCTCTTTTTGAAATATATATTAAAATATTTATATATTAAATAAATAATAATAAATAAATAATACCTATTATTAAATAAAATATTATTAAAATATTATATTAAAAAACACCTTTTTGCTTTTTATAATTGTTAAAAATAAAATATTTATTTCTCCAAATTTTTATGAAATTTAATTATTATTTGAAGTAATTATACTCTGTGTTTTACATATTTTTTAAATAACCAAAATTTAAATTCTCGAATTATTATTTTACATAATTTTCAACTCAATGAAAGTTTTATTTCTTATAATTTTTATTGCACATTATTATTTAATATAATGTTTAGTTTATAAAACTTTTAATGTGGCTTAATTTTCATGCCACTTGATTCGCAAAATATTTTACAAATTAACAAAATATTTTCATTGATTTAACAGTGGATTTTCATTAATTCGTTAAATATTCTGTGAATCACGTATTCGATAAAATAAAAATAAAAAAAATTAATCCATTTTATAAAATAAACATTATATTATAAGTAATAATTCTATGCAATAAAAATTATAAGAAATAAAACTTTTATTAAATTAAAATTATGTAGAATAATAATTCGAGGATTTAAATTTCGATTGTTAAAAAAATTTATGTTAATTATTTCAAATAAGAATTAGATTTCATAAAAATTATAAAAAATATTATATTTTTAACAATTATATTACTTTCCATTTTACAAGTGAAAATTTTATGTTAATTTTGAATTAGATTACATAGAATCTTATCAAAAAAAATTTTAAATAATTGAATTCCTTCGAAGAATTTCTTTAATTGTGAAAATATAATTGAATTCTCGCGAAGAATTTTATTAAAATTTTCTAAAATCGTAATTAAATTCTTTTGAAGAATTTCTTTGAATTTTTTTCTTTATTGAAAATTTTGAAAGCAATAATTGAATTTTATAAAGAAGAATTTTATTAATATTGTATTGAAATTTGAAAATAATTTAATTCCTGAGAAGAATTTTATTATTTATAAAAATAATTTAATTCTTGAGAAGAATTTTACCATTTATAAAAATAATTGAATTGTTCCGAAAAATTTATTAAAATTTTAGGAAATAATTGAATTTTTTCGAGGAATTTAATTAAAATATTGTTTTAAAAATAATTTAATTTTTGTAAAGATTTTTATTAAAATTTTAGGAAATAATTGAATTTTATAGGAATATTTGAAAATAATTAAATTCTTTCGAGAAATTCAATTACAGTTTTTTCGAAAATATAATTGAATGTCTGTAAAGAATTTTATTAAAATTAAGTATTTTCAAAATAATTGAATTCATTACAAGAATTTTATTATTTTTTGAAAATAATTGAATTCTTTCAATTTTTTTTATATTTAAAAATTGCATTGAAATTAATTTAATTTTCATATAGAATTTTTTTTAATATTTTGAGAATAATTGAATTATTTTTAGAGAATTTTAAATTCTTGTTGAAATTGAATTTTTTGGAAATTTTTGAAAATAATTAAATTCTTTCGTGTAATTTTACTTAAATTGGATTAAAAATAATTTAATTCCTGCAAAGAATTTTGGTATTTATAAAAATAATTGAATTGTTTCAAAGAATTTATTTACAATTTTAGCAAATAATTTGAATTTTATGGAAATGTTTAAAAATATTTTAATTCTGCCGAGGAATTCAATTAAAATTGTTTTGAAAATAATTGAATTCCTGCAAAGAATTTTAATATTTGTATAAAAATACTTCCTCTATGAGGAAGTAATAATTGAATTCTTGCGCGAAGAATTTGAGTATTTTAAAAAATAATTGAATTGTTTCGAAAAATTTATTAAAATTTTCAGGAAATAATTGAATTTTGCACTTAAGAAGTGGATTTTTTAAATTTCGATTATGAAATTATTTAAAAAATTTATATTTGAAAATAAAAAATTTTGTAATTTGCATAACATATTTTATAAGACAGTTATGGCTTTAATTTAATTATCTACCAAAATGGACTGCAGAGAAATGTAATAAATAAAATAAATAAATAAAATAAACTGAATTGTTTCAAAGAATTTATTAAGATTTTAGAAAATAATTGAATTTATTAGAAATATAATAAAAAATTATATAAAAATTGAATTATTCCGAAGAATTTTTATAAAATTGTTTTGAAAGTAATTGAATTCCTACAAAGAATTTTACTATTTATAAAAACGATTGAATTGTTTTGAAGGATTTATTAAAATTTTTGGAAAATAATTGAATTCTTTCGTGAAATTTTATAAAAATTTTTTTTTAAATAATTGAATTTTTACAAAAAATTTTACTATTTGGAAAAATAATTGAATTCTTCCGAAGAAGTATAGGGGAGACTGGGGCTAAATGTTAAATTTTGCATAAATGACTTTTTTTAGACAATAAATCCGCTAATTTGGGTGAAATTATGCGCCCCCACTTTTTTGTAATATCATTGTTTATATTCATTTCTTTGTTACGAATAAACTGACATTAACTGACATTTGACAATTTTATACCATCATCACTTTTTTTTAACTCTTGAATGTAGTAAAATTTTTTGTATACAACTAATATAACCTTTTAAAAAATTAAAAAAGTAAATTTATTTCTTAAAAAAATAATAATAAAATAATAATCAAAATGTCAAAGTTAAATGAAAACAAAAAAAAAATGCAAAATTCACACGTGATTGAAGGTTAAGAAATAAATAAAAAAATTAAGAGAAAACGACGAAAAGAATTAAATAGAATAAAAGAAAAATGTTTTGTTTAGATAATTGGTCCTATACTGATGATACATCGTTCATAAAGTGAGTAAAATCAGTTTCTATTTTTTAATATTTCTACACTTAACTATTTAAAGGCAAAATACTGCTAAATTGAAAATTATTTCGTGTAATTTAAATTTAATGAATACAAAATTTACAAGTACTTTTATTATTATTAGAAACGTTTTTTTTTTAAAGAATTAAAAAAAAATTTACCCTCGTCTCTATTAAAAAACAAACTAATTTCTCATTTTTAATTTATAATAACAAAAATTTTGCTGATTTTGGTAAATTTCCATACATAACTACTATTTATTAAGTAATTTTTAGATCATTTTAATATTTTTTAATTTTTTTTTAAATAAAACAATTTTACTAAGGAAAGTTTAAAGGAAAATAATAATTTTTTTTTAAATTGACTAAAGTTCTATTAAACTAAAGTTTGGGTCAAGTTAACCCAGTGTATTCGGAAGTATCTTAATAGTAACTGGCGAATATTTTACAGAAACGATTCTAGATTTTTAGATGATTGTCATCTGAACCAAAAGAATAAATTAAATAAAAGAACTTTTAAGATACCACAAAAATTTCCTGGACTGCTGTTAAATAAAAAGATTCAGCCTGAGTTAAAAAAATTAATTAACAATTCTAGTCAACAGGATACCTTAAATATTAAGCACAAACATAAATACAATAAAGACATTAAAATATGTTGCCGAATGTGTTTAAAATTGCAGGTAATTTATAGAAACGCGGTAATTGTGACTATAAATTATAATTTATATAACATAGTTTATATGACAATATTTATAAATTACAATATGTAAATTATAAATTTTGACTAAGAAAAAAAATGTAATTTAACAGGAATTAGGTTGTCCAAGAATTCCAAACAATTGTTTCAAGCACGACAGTTATTTATTCGTTGACCATGCTGCTGGTTTGAATGCAGGATTGGTGAATGGTGATTATTTAAAGTTTGAGTTTCCTTCAAAGAAAAAAGAGAAAATTGTGAATTTAAATGTATGCCTTAGAGGCTTTAGAGGGATGCATCTCTCAGAACTATCATCTCAGAGAACAAAACAAAAAAGTTGGAAATTTTGTTTCTATCAAGCTATAACTGCATTATTGGCTAAAACACAGTTGAGGTGAAATAAATAAGTTCTCAAGTTTTTTTTTATTTATTTTCCGCAAATATATTTTGGTAATACAGTCGAACCTATCGGAATGCAATTTTTTTCGAATTTTATCACTAAATAAATTTTACAATCCTTACAAAATTATTTATACCTAATTTTGTAATGTTTAGATAATATTTTACAATCTTTAATAATTTTAACTAGAAAATAATTCTTTGTGGACATTTTTAAATGTCAAACAATTTAATTAATTTTTTGTTTAAATGGTTGCATTCAGACAGGTTCGACTGTATGACAAAAAAGTTTCTCTCACATTAGATACAAATATGCATGGAGTGGAAATGTTGATTATATTTACGATCACGCCTGGATTCTTTTTATTCACACCGGCTCGATTAATGTAAAAAAGAGACAGAGACTAAATGATGTTGTAATTAACAATTACAAGTATAATATCGAACTCGAATTAGTGGATGAACTGAATTCAATTGCTGACTCATCGACACCATTCAATTATTTGAAATCTTTCACCAGAAAGCAATTAAATCGAAATGAACTGATGCACATCCCAGAAACATTGGGTTTAAAGAAAGCTTCAAATCTAAAAAAATTCGCAAATCGTAATTCTACCCACAAGTTAATGGAAGAATGGCTCGATGCAATAGATCTTCTGTCACATATGAATTGTATTCTTAAAACAGGAGAATTTTCCCTAGCTTTCTGGAGAGAAGGATACTTTTGGTATCTTTACAATCCGTACAGATGCAATGAGTACGGATTTTTTGATGATTGTGGATATAATTGTATTATGAAATTTTGTTCGATGGATTCGTTGAAACGTTACTTGATAGTTCTCTTGAGTACTGTTCAAATAATTCACAATGACGATTTAAAAAATAATAAAATGGGGGGAACTAATCAAACCGAAATTAAGAATGAAGATTCAAAATCTGCAAATACTTTCACGATTCAGTTGTTTAAAATGAACTTCTATTGTTGCAAAGTTCATAATGTTCCTAAAGTTCATAATAAAAAATTGTGTCCAAGTTTAGTTGACAAATTTCAATTGTTAGCACATGACAGAAAAATAAATAATGAGGATTGCGACTTTGAGTTTAATGATTCTTGTATTGATGATGAAGGAAAATCAGAAGAAACATTACATCCTTCTGAGGTAGAATAGTTAAACTAACTTAAATGTAGTTAAAGCCTTCGAAATATCGTAAAATAAACCCAAAAATATTTTCAAAATTATGTACCGACGAACTGTTTGTTTTCTTCACAGATAAAACAGGAAAATAACATTAAAAAGAAGAAACTGAATGAAAATTTTTTATGGAAGCAATATCAAGTAGAGGAAGAGGATACTCTTTTTTCCATGCACACCAATATTTCAAATGAAATTTTTCCACAACAAAATCAAGAGAAATATTTTTATGCTTGTTATGTTATTTGTGCTGGTATGACAAGACTAATTTCACCAGAATTCTGGACACCTCAAACTTTAAATGCTATTTTGTTTTTTGGCCGCATGTGAGTATTGTAATAATTGTATATCAAAGTTAATTATTACAATATTATTATTACACGAAGAAAATTTGTTTCTATTCTATCGAATATAGAATTAAAAGGTTTTTAACATCTTTTCACTAAATATGAATTCACTGATCAACACCTGTAACATCTTTTTTGTCCTACCTGCACGAAAAGTATGTCATTTCGGGCACTTAAAGTGGGCGCAAAGTAACTGATTCTCGCCCGGGGTTGGGGAAGCGGGCGCAAAAGTTCTTTTACGCCCGCTGACGTCACACAAGCGGGCGCAAAAGTACTTTTGCGCCCACTTCGCTCGTGCCCTCAATGCCATACTTTTCATGCAGTTAGGACAAAAAATTATGTTCGCAACATGGGCGCAAAGGTGATTACGACTTTGGCGAGATTTCGGGACCTCGCCATCGTCGCAATCACCTATTTTGCGCCCTTGATACGATAATAACTATTATTAAATAAAAATAAACATAGAATAATTAATAATACATTTGTCCTTAACTTCACAGCTATTATACGTCTAATAACCAAGAAGAAAAACTAAACCACGAAACAATAGAAACATTAAATACTGCAACAATTAATCAATTAACCGAAGAATTTAAAATTGCAAATTTTGCATTTCAACTGAAAATATTTCCAGCATCTCATGGCCATCTTCACAATAAATATACCAAATGTCTTAAAACTGCCGTTGAAAAATGCTTTTTAAAACATAATTTTGCTATTTTAACCTGTAAAAATTCATGTCTGGGATTTTTTAAAGACTATGCATCTTATTATATTTTTGATGTTCGATCGAAAAATTCTGGAAAAGGCACTGCTTGTTTATTGAGAACAACTTATTTTCATAAATTTATGAAAAATTTACTACTGTTAATCGATTCAGTTCAGTATAATCAATTTGCATTGAACCCTATTAAAATTTTCACTATTCTCGATCACGAAAATATTGTCTGCTCTGGAACTAAGAATTTTGAAAAGTTATCAAGTGCAAAAGAAATTAAAAAAGGTGACAGAAAAAATTGTCCTACAGATTAATTGTGCATTTATGAAAGATTTTAATTTGGACAAACTAATAAATTTTTAGTACAAATAAAAATTTGTTCTACTATGCGATTATTTGCATCAATATATATTTGAGAGTTTAAAAATTTTTTCTTACAGTTCAAATAAAGTAATGAAAAGCATATTTATTAGTTGCTTTTTTTATTTAATAAATATTTTTTTACCGCATCTTTTTTGAAAAGATGTATTTGTGAATTTCTTCCTGTAGAATAATGAATGTTTGTGCCTTTTATGTTGCACTTGCGGAAAATTAATTAAAACTTTGGTGTCTTTATATTCTTTAAATTGAGGGACTTTAAGGATGCTGCATCGTATACCAGCGATTTTGTAATTATTTTCCCAAAGGCAGACGAAGCCATGCAAAAAGGCAATCTCGGCGTCCGAAGCCGCGTATAGCAACCAAAGTGTTTATAAAATTACAGCGATTCTCGCTGGAAATAACGTGAAGCCTTCAATTCACCAAGTCTCATTATTGGATTTGGGAATCACATTCAAGACACTCGGTTATTTTTAAGTTTTTATATTAAAATAAATTTTAACAATTATTCAACTTTTGATTTTTTTAACATTTAACATCATTTACAATCAAATCATTAGCATCATTTACTAACAAATGCTTGAAAAAGCAACTGACGCACTAAATTATGCTTTTATTGAGAAATTTCTTTAAAAAAATAATAAGCTTCCAAACATTTTGTGAGAATATTTCAAGAGCGTCATAATCTTTAAAAAATCTCAAACTTTTGTGCATATTAAAATCGCAAAATATTTTAAAAAACTTTTTTCTATGGTATTTTTAAGACATGTAAATTTTTGCATAATTATAAAGGTGAATTTAAATAATTATAAAATTTATAATTATAAAATTAAATATATATTTAAAATACATATTGCTTATATATGAATATAGATAATTATAGGTAAATATTAAAGAAAGTGAAAGTAATAAAGGGTTACTCTGAAAAGTGGCTCAGAGATTTTTAATTATCTTTATCTCTAAATTCTTTATCCTTTTGAAACAATGTGGCTGGTCTGTGTTTCTAAAACAAACAAAGTCTATGTTGATACTCTGTAATAGAATAATCTGCCGCTGATTCCACGGATATAACCTACGGGTATATATGTACGCACACATTCAAACTGTATAAATGCAGTTCTATATATGGGTTTATGCGTGCGGATGTGCTCTAATTTTCGCTATAGGTAGATATATAAATTCCGAATAAGTTTTTTACTCAAAAAAAAAATGTGTATGATATTAACTGTATCTCCCTTTTTGAAAATTTTAACTTCTATCATCTGTTACAAAAGACAGGCTTCACAGTGTCCCTAAAAGGTATTTTAGGGGAAATAGGGGACTGAAAATTTAAAAATAGGGGACACTTTTAGGGGACCATAAAAATTGGTTAAATAAAGATAAAAATATAATTTATTTATACAGGGTTGCCACAAAAATTTAACTTTATTTTTCCCTCACTTTTCCCTGATTTCCAAATACAACTATGACTTTTTTCCTGACCCTAAAGAATATTCTGATTCACTCTCTTATTAGATACTCAAAAAACTATTCTATTAAATTTATTTACAAATTTCTTCAAAAGTAAAATTATTCCAAAACATTAATAGTTTTATTTAAAATAAATATTTCATCATTTCTTTTTCATTGGAATTAAGATGTTCAAAAATTTCAAATTCAAACCTTTTCAAATTAAACTCATAAGAATATTATTATAAAACAAAGAAATGGATCACTTCGAGTCTTCGAATTGGAGTAATCCATTTCTTTATGTTTTATAATAATTAAAAATGACCGACTGACAAAATAATTATTTTATTATTATAAGAATATTGTTACTGTAATTTCTTCAAAATTATTTCTATCATTTCAATTCAATTAACATTTTCTAGAATTTTTAAATAAAGTTCTACTTTAAATCAATAACATCAACTATTATTCAATTAAACTTTTCCAAGAAAAATAATTCTACAGAATTATTAGTTAAAAGTAGGAAAAATAATAATTTAATTCTACGAGAAATCAATTATTTAAATACAAAAATAAATAATATTGGATGTTTCTTAAAATTTAATTTTTACGAAGAATTGTATTAACAACTTTTGGAAATATTTAATTTCTTTTAAGGAATTTAATTAAAATTTTAATGAAATTTATTGTATTAAAGAATATTTTATAACAATTTTTGAAAATAATTGAAAACTTTTTGAAGAATTTTATTAAATTTTTTTGAAAATAATTAAATTCCTGAGAAGAATTTAAATAATAATTATCGAAAACAATTGAATTAATGAGAAGAATTTTATTAAAATTTTTGAAAATAATTGACTTCTTGAGAAGAATTTTTAAAAAATTTTTGACAATAATTTAATAATTTAATTCTTGAGAAGAATTTCCCTATCTATTTATAAAGATAATTTAATTCTTGACGAGAATTTTTAAAAAATTTTGAAAATAATTTAATTTCTGCAAAATATTTTATAACTTTTCAAAAGAATTGAATTCTTGTGATGAATTTTGATATTTATCAAAATAATTGAATTTTGGAAAAGAATTTTATTAAAATTCCTTTTAGAATAATTGATTTTATGGGAAGAATTTATGCGATTTTGTTGTTTATCAAGCTATAATTGAATTCTTTTGCAAAATTTTCATAACAATTTTCGAAGAAAATCAATTATTTAAAAAGATTTTTATAAAATTTTTCACACGATTTCAATTATTTTTAATACAATTTGAAGTAAATTCTTCGAAAAATGTAATTAATTAAAAAAGTTTTATTAAAATTCTTCGATAGAAATAAATAAACAATTATCAATAATTTTGGCAAAAGTTTCTAGAGAATTTTCAAATCCATTTGTTTACAATTCAATTTTACTACACGGAGAGACCGAGATTACTAATTTTTGTATAAAATCACACTAGAATTTACTATATTCACATTGCAACCACCGGAAATAAGGGGACTTTTTGTATTTTTTACTATTTTCTACACTAAGTCACTAATCCCGACAAATGTTCACCAAATTAGCAAAGTTTCTTACTATTTCGTCCAATAGTTCCAAACAACTGTAGTAAAACTCAGAAACATTGTGTACGTAAAATTACTATAGTCGTTGTAAATGCAGAAAGAAAGAGTGAAAAGAAAAAATACGGATTTTTGTCGCCGGTTTCCCGTCAATTCTTGACTAGTGGAGGTAAACTGGAAGGATTTTTACATACACAGACACACACACTCACACACTTATATATTTGTTTTTGGATAAATATTTGAAGACACACACATGTTTATTTCACTTATATGTATAGACGCGGTTAATTAATACACTAATACACAACTGCACGCACGACAACGAATTTCACTGAAAGTATACATCTTTGTTTCCTTATATATTGAATGATGAAAATTTACAGCACTTACGAGAAAGCAGTTTACTTTTAACAACTTATTATAAGACATACTTCTTGGGACAGGAATAAATGCAAAATTTATTAATTTATAATGGTCAATTTCTGAGATACCGAACGACCTACGTTTCACTTTATATTTAATTATTGTAGATAATATCCAAATTTATTTTACATACGCGAAACATAGTCACTGTCAATGATCGGAAGGCATCGGCTCATTTACGGAGATTGACGAGGTTAGCAACCAATAGAAATACAGGCGCCATATGACTGCACTCGCTAGCCACACTTGCTCACCAAAAATTACTACAGTGGATAGAAGATTTTAGTGGAAAATGTTTTCATTTGTCAGATTTTGTCTAATTAAATTAGAGAAAACTATAATCAATTTTCGCTACATTTACAACTCTTACACAAAATATTAAAACTTGCTATTTCAATGTAGCAAATTTATCTATTTCTTTTGTAAATTTATCTAATTCTGTAGTATATTATGCTAAAAGTCCCCTTATTTCCGGTCATTGCAACCGTTTTTAGTAATTTTTACGAATGTGGGTCTCTCCGTGTAAAATTTGATTATTCAGAAATTCTTCAATTAAATATTTAGAACATAGAAACTTAAAATAATTTTTAAAAATAATAACACTTCTTCAAAATGCAATTATTTTTAAAAATTCACGCTATAATGCTTTTAAAATTCGATTATTATTTAAAATTTTAACTGAAATTCATTTTGAAAACAATTTTTATTAAAAAATTCAACGAAAATTCAATTATTTAAATAAAAAATAAAGAAATTATTGAATAAATATCTAAATTTTTCTCGAAATTGAATTCTTATAAAGAATATTATCAACAAATTTTGAAATAATTGAAATTTTAATAAAAAAAAATTAAACGAATTTTAATAAAAATTTCAAGAATAATTATTTTTCGAGGAATTCAATTAAAATTGTATTAAAAATAATTGAAATTCTATTATGTGTTTTATTAAAAATGAAAATAATTGAATCTCTGTAAAAATTTGTATTATTTATGAAAATATAATTATGAATTATTGCGAAGAAATTTAGAAAAAATTTGTAAATAATTTAATTTAGCTGTAAAATTTTTATTATTCATGAAAATAATTGAATTTTGGAGAAGAATTTTATTATTTTTAAAGATAATTGAAATTTTGGTGAGACATTTTTAAAAAATGCTTAAAAATAATTTAATTTTGTCGAAGAATTATATTATTCATTTATAAAAAGATAATTGAAATGTTGACCTTCAATTTTTTTTTTAGATTTTTTAAAAATAATTGAATATCTCCGAAGAATTTCATTATAATTTTGAAAATAATTGAATTCTTCTGATGAATATTGCTTATTATTTTTGAAAATAATTGAATTCTTCTGATGAATATTGTTTTATTTTTGAAAATAATTGAATTTTGCGGAAAATTTTATTAAAATTCTCGAAAATAATTGAATTTCTTGGAAGAATTTCGATATTTATCAAAATAATTAAAATGTTGAGGATAATTTTTTAAAAATATTTTTGAAAATAATTGATTTTGTAGAAGGAATTTTTATATTTATTTAAAAAAATTGAATTTTTTCAGAGAATTGCATTAAAACTTTTAAAATTGAAACTAATTTCAACAGAATTGAAATTAAAATTGAAATTAAAATTTAAAAAAAAAATACTTCATTAAATGATTTTTAATAAGTTATATAACTTTATGGCAGCGTTCTCCAATAGAATTAAGTTATTAAAAAAAAATTAATGGCAAAAAAAGAAAAAATTGGTTTTCTTTAGAATTTGTGTCAATTTCATAGCTTATTATTTATGAAAATAATTGAATTTCAGAGAAGAATTTTATTATTTTGTTTTTAAATAAAATTCTTCTATAAATCCATGATTTTTAATAATTAATTAAATATATATATTAAAAAATAAATAAAACTAATTATGAATCCTGCAAATTAAATTCTTTCTAGTACTTTAATAAAAATCCCTGACTTTTCCCTGATTTCCCTGACCAATTCTATTTTCCCTGACCTGTGGCAATCCTTATTTTAACCACTCTTTGATGATCAGTA